CCACCTCTTCAAAAGCTCACCTGCTAGTTTCCAAGTTCTGTTCAATAAGGCCTAGATCACCAGTTACGAAGGTAAAATGACACGAATAAAGCATTGTGATGAGAACTATTACACAAATGGCAATGAGACCATCCGGTACTCTCCAGCTTCATGTGTTTGGCAATCAAGCCAATGCATAGTTGAGGTAGGCAGTTTGGCGTTTATATGAGCCACAGCACTAGCTCTGAACAGCTGCTTCTGTTGGATTGGAAAGGTTTCCTTTGTTTTCAAATAATTCCTTTTGGAAAATAATCACAGCAGCATATAGTAAGCTACAGCTTTTCCTGTGCCAAGGCTCCTGCTGCTTAAAGGCAAGTAATCATAAGCTGGTCATGGTTTTGCGTCAGGGCTGTCAGATCTTTGGCCCTGGAGTCGCATTGGATGCAGCAAAACTGTCCATCTGGCTCTGCAAACCCCTTTATCATCAAATCAGCCAGCTCCCATTTTCAAAACAGGCGCATTCATGTAAATGGATGAAAATCGTTTCCCCCCCTTCTCTCTTTCCCACTGCCTCCCCCAGGCTCTGAAATGCTAGCCTTGGTTTTTCATTTCTCCGGTTTGTTTTTACAGCTGGCATCAACCCACCACTGTTTTCAGTGAATACAGCATTTGCCAGTGACTTCATCTACACATTCTCAAGCAATGGTTATTTTTGGCAGAAGTGAGTCTCATGAATGTGTATTTGCATTCATATGAGGAGGGTATAAATAGACACCCCCCACCCCCCAATGAACGGTGCTTCTCTAAGGATTCGGTTTTAGAAAAAGTTCAGTTAGGTGATTAGATGCTATTGTGGGAGGCACGATTTTCCTTGCCTGTTCAGGAATGTCTTTGGGATCATTATGTTTTAAAAGAGGTGAGCTTGATATATTCCTCTTTCAAAATGTTCATGAGTCATTGAGTCAGACTAGAAGTGATACTTTTCATACCAGCAGTGACGCCATCTTCTTTTTACAGAATAAAAGCCAGGCATGCCCTGATCTGGATTGGGACATTGAGCAGCAACACTTTGCCTCCCTCTGTGCCCACAGCGCAGGCTGCGTCTCCCCACCGTGCACCCTCTATCTGCATTGGAAGGAAGTTCTGGATCCTATGAAGCTGTTTCCCATGCATTATGTTGATGACTTCTAAAGCTAAATCCATCCTATCAAAGGGGGTTTCCTTTTTTTTTAAAATAGTAACTTTATTTTAAAAATAGAATTAAAAAGATAAAAATGAATACAGACTAAAAAAGAAAAGAATAAAAAGAAAAATAGAAAGTGTAGAAAAGAAAAAAGACAAAGAAAAATAGAAAAGAAAGAAAAAAGAATATAGAAAGAAAAAAAATCAATAAATGACTTCTCCCTTTATCACAATAAGGATAAACAATTTTAGTAATGTATCGCTTTCTCTTAAAATACAACAAATGATCTCTTCTTCCCATATCCCATCTCTTATCTATAAACAAATCCTTAAAGCCTCGTCATTT